CTTGAAATTATGTAATTCTAAAACTCTGGAGTGGGTTTTCATTAGTCAAATATTGTCTAAAGTTCCATTTCTTGAGAGAAATATATTGTAACACTGAGCAAGACATCTCTGAAACATCTGGGTTTCTGCAAAAGAGGATGGAGGAGAAGCCACTCCACTTCGCTATTTGGCATTTGTGACACTTGTATCCTAAGAATGTCAGGCGCCTGGCAGGAAGAAAACAAGTTACAAAAACTAAGGAAAAAAATATAACTCATTCATTCATCTTTGTTCCTAGGACTCACTGTTATTCCTTTCATTAGTTACAATGGATTAAGAATTAAATGACATAATTTGTTTTTAAAATGTCAGAAGGAGTGCATATTTTAGTAATTTTAAAAATCTTTTAATGTTGACCCTCTGTATAAATCTTACCAGAAATGAGGATGACTGGTTTACAACATTGGATACTCTAAGTTGCCAATAATTTGTACAGAGCCTGTGATTGCAAAACCACAAACATTTCACAATACTGGAAACCTCTAATTAACCACAATAAGCGATATGGTAGATTTGTTTTAAATGCATGGATAATAATAATGCTTCTTGCTTTAAGATCACAAACTGTGAGATTCTGTGGAGGTGAGATGGATAGGCTGCAAATGGTTTTGCAAAGCACATTTCTACCTCTGCGTGTTAAGTCTGACCCAGAACATTCTACTAATATTGGATGAGTCTCTCATCTGATGTAATTTGCCTGTGGGAATTGTATTGGCTGTGAGACTAGCACTTCTTAGTAGCTGTTGTTAAAAGAAGCAGCAGCAGCAGAAGCAGCACAATTCTGTGGTGTGTTTCAAATGACTGAAGCCAGGTTCCTAGGCACTGAGACAAGAAAGAATGTCAAACAGGACCTTTAATGTGTATTTGTATTTAAACATCAGACCTAACAGAAAACCCTGAAGCTTTATACAATGACTGGAGCCTTGTAAGAACCTAATTAATGTATTGTCAGGTGAATGGTTGGCCTGGCACTTGAGCTGTTCCGAGAGACACAAGGGGGTTCAGGTACCACCTTGGAAGAATAGATGCAGTTGTAGTGATTCAGTGGCCCGTCTGAAAGGAACACATAAAGGCAGCTGTGTCTGGTGTGCTGTCTTTTCAGACTCACTTGATAATGCTAGTGTCAGTTTCAACTGAAGCGTGTGCCAGATTTCAGATAGCTTGAGCTGGCATTTCAGAGCAGTTAATTGTGAAACTTGAGAAGAAAATGGGCACATTCTTCCTAACTAAGATGGCTACTCAAATACAGTCTCCTTCCCCCCAGAGCTTTCTGGGTCTCACTTTTGTTCTGTTTCCACATAAAATGCATGAGGAACACTGAGTCTTCTCCCCTTGGCAACTCCTATATTGCCATCTTTGCTGGGACTGCTTTGCCTTGTTAAAATGTGCCCCGTGTATTAAAATGAAATTGTCACTGCTGGGTGGTGCAGCATAACGTGGTTTGACACTAAGCGCCGGCAGCTACAGAAAACAGACTTTTATTGCGTTTATTCTTTCAGAGAGGAGAGTCTCTAAAGGCTCACAGCAGACATTCACTTAGTTAAATCTGAATGAACCCAAAGTGAACAATCTACGCTGCTGTCTTTGTGTTCATAGAAACAACCCCCATCCAGCTTGATATGGCTGTAAAACAGTGTTAAGAAAAGACAGATGATCATACCTAAAATCCAGATGAGAAAACTTGAAGCTTTCAATCCAGGACAAAAATATTTTAAGTGGGTGGAGTGGGTTAGCCACCTAATTTTCTTCTTTAGCTTCTCTGTATTCCCTAAAATACATTATGTAGAATCAACAAGCACACATACGCATGAGCATGTACAAACACACACACACACACACACACACACACACACACACACACCCATCTAGTTTCAGTCTTCCTTTAGAATTCCATATCATTTTAAGACAAAGAGAAATGATTTGATTTGTAGGACTCTTGCAAGCAAGCTTTAGATTCTTAACTGCCTTTTATCTAGATGAGTACCCAGAGAGAGATTGAACAGGGAGGGGGCTCTGGGGCATAAACTTTTCATTCTGTAGCTCTCCTGGAATAAAAATTCCATAAAGTAACATCTGTGGTAATTAAGGGCTTACATTTCCTCTCCCATTTATGTCTCTGTTAGGAGGGAAAGTTATTTTCCTCAAGAGAAAATAGTAGATCCTATGGGAAGAGAGAAAGCAGAGTTGAGTTAGAATTCTTTTGTTCCTAGAAATGAAAGTTTCCTACTTAAAAAAAAAAATAAAATAAACAAATCGGAAGACTTATGATAAAAAGTTTCCACGGGAAAGAAAACTTGAAAGAGTTAGGAAAATTGTACTTAACTGTTCCTAAATATTTAGAATGGGGGAAAATTCATCCTTCTTTTCTTATCCGAACATCTTCTGATTTGGGAGAACTTGTGATTAAGTAGTGAACAAAATGCTATCCTTGTTTTTTTTTTTATTATTTATTAAAATTACATGTTATGAAGCCCAAAGATTTTTTTTTTTTTCACTTAGACTCAAATTGATTTATTCTCAAAATTTAGGTCATCCGATGAAATAAATACTGGTCTTAATGTTAAAATTACTTTCTAGTATTTTCTTGTCATAGCAGGATCAGCTATGTAAATTATGGGGCCCAGTGAAAGATAACAACACAGATCCCTTTGTTAAAAATTGTTAAGAAGTTCAAGACAGTGACAGCAGAACTTGAAACCAAGTGCAAGGATATTCTAAGGGCGGAGCACATACATGGTGGTCTCATTCATGGAAAATCTCTGTAACTAAGCAGGCATATCAATACGGAAAGATTCACGGGAAAACAAACTGAAGAATTTGCCAGAAAATAATTACAGCTCCTCAATGGAACCAGCTGCTGATCCCATCTTCAAACTTGTTAACCAGGCAATACAGATGCCCTATCTGCATCACTCAGTTTATTTCTAAGAGTTTCCTGGGCGAGCCTTTCACTGAGACTCATGGTCTGTTCCCTCTACCCAGGGTACAGAGGTACAGGCAGGGTACCCATGACCCAGGCCCTCCCTCCTGCCCAGCTCAGCCCCACCCTAATTACTTCTCCAAAGGCCTTTTCTGCCTTCTATGCCTCTTCTCAGCACTTCCCTGGCTTCTAGGATTCTCCTTACATTTGAATTCTAGTAGCTATAGTAAATATATATGACTTATTTGACATCCATTAACATGTTTTTTCCTTATCTTGTTTCCTGTGTATGTAATACAGTCATGTAATGTGGTCCTGAAAACACACATAAAATTTAGATGTAGGAAAGTTTTATAACTTTCATCAATGGGCTCCATTCCAAGAAAACTCATATTACAAACATGGCAGAAAATCCAAAATTATACTTTGCCTTTTGGACAAATTTCACACATTTTATACATATTCTTTCATGTGTATGTGTGCTGTTTCTTCAGTTCATTTTTGCCTCTAATGTACTCTTGGTAGGACTTAATTTCTTTTAATCAGAACCAATCCTTTAATTTTTATCTTCCCCACCCAATGTTATAAAATAGTAAAGGCCAGATGTAATTCATTATTTAGAAAATGCTGCAAATACTAATACTGCCAGAATTGATATTATGATGGTATGGCTCAAAATCTTCATTCTTTAGATTGTTAGAGCAAAATTTGGCACAAGAACCCCAATTTAGGAATATTGATATCTAGTATGAAAAAAATAAGAGATTGTCCAGAATTTAAAATTAAGAACTGGGGTTTGTGTATTTATATCTTCCTTCAATATGTAGGATTCCAGATGACTCTCTCTGGGTTTCTTTCCTGCAATGGGTTTTCAATAAAATGTCATGATGTTGATGACTACACTACTGTACTGATCTCTCCTTTAGGCTGCAAGCTGTTCAAATAAAACACATCTCCTCAACTTGCTTTGTGCAGTCCCTCAAGCAGTGTAGCTTAGTAGTTATAGTACAGGTGTTAGTACTGGATAGGCATCAGTTCAAATCCCAACTCTACCACTTACTAGAAAGGTAGTTTATCTCTCTAAGCCTCAGTGCCCTCATTGATGTGAAGGGCAATAACAAGACCTACCTTTTAGGTTTGCTAATTCAGTCATTCAACAGACATTTATTGAGAAATTTCTTTAAAAATTTTTTTTTTTTTCTTTAAGAAGATGGGGGTTCTCCCTGTTGCCCAGTCTGGTCTCGAACTCCTGGCCTCAAGCAATCCTTCTGCCTCAGCCTCCCAGAGTGCTAAGATTACAGGTGTGAGCTACCACACTGCACCTGGCCTCTATGGAGCCCTTTCAATTGCTAAATATCATCGTGTTAAGTAAAATAATGCCTCTGGATGAGGGCTCAGTACAGAGTCATCCACAAGACAACATTCCATATAATGAAAGATGCTTTCTCAGCAATGAAGGGTTTGTGACATTCTCCTATCGATCTGGCCATTGTGGTTGTTACAACAGTTGACAGTTGGGGTAGATTTCTCAAATTAAGCTTTCCCATGGCTTTCTTGTTCTCCTTTTCTTTTTTTGTTCGTTTTCTTGGATACATACAACTTGAAAACAGTGTACGATCCCCTGTTTACTTTCTTTTTCCAGAATGGAGTCTACTGAAAAATGTGAAGTGGTAATTCAACATTTTAATGGAAAATACCTGAAAACACCACCAGGCATCCCAGGTAAGATATGTCTTTAATAAACCACTAAATAGTGCCTAAGATTATTGCTCTTATTAGAATGAGTACATGGTAAAGCCCTTGGTTGGTCACTGGGAAGGAAAAGTTTGCTTTTATGAATTATATTTTTTCAATATTATATAGCAACTCATCTTTTTCAAAAGCTTTTTGGTGATTCTTCTTTGGCCTTTTGTTAAATCTCTGCTGTTAATTCCCAAAAGTGGATTAGAAGAAAACCATAGCAAAGAATGATGCACTTGAAGTGAAAGAAGATAATGACTCTTATCATTAATATTGAAACCCCAATTTCTAAATTATAAAATATCTATGCAGTTATAGTCACAGGTTGATGCCAGGCCCCAAAAGTTTCTTACCAGTCTGCAACAAGAAAAATATAGATAGCAAGAGTAAGCATTTAGAAAATTTTATAGCAATTTCAACTGTCATGAAATTTGAGGGCATAATTTTATATTTTACAAAAATACCAGTTACTGACACATTGGAAATTTTAAAAAATACTGTCCATTCATCAGAGAGAGTTTCAGAAGCTCCAGTCTAGACTATTCCAGGGCATTTCACGTTTCCCAAGGTAAAATTCTTAAAATTTTACACACATCATGAAGTGATATAACTTTATGCTATCAAGAATTACATTTAACATAAAAGAATTATATTCAACAAAAAAAAATCATGTGCATCAAAGCTACAAATGACTCACCTTGATATTAATCTGGCAGAGGTATATGTGGAAGGTATTTAATATTAGACATGTAAATTTATTTTATTTTATTTTATTTTTTTGTTGTTTTTGAGACAGGGTCTCACTCTATAGCCCTGGTTAAAGTGCAGTGGTGTCATCATAACTCCCTATGACCTCAAACTCCTGGGCTCCAGCAATCTTCCTGCCTCAGCCTCCTAAGTAGCTGGGACTACAGGTGCATACCACCACGCCTGGCTAATTTTTCTATTTTTTATAGTCACAGGGTCTTGCTCTTGGTCAGGCTGGTCTTAAACCCCTGGCCTTAAGTGATTCTCCTGCCTTGGCCTCCCAAAGTGCTAGGATTATGGTCATAAACCACTGCACCTGGCCTAAATTTTAAATATATCTTATTCATTTAAAAAATTAAAGAATGAAATGCTAAACTAAGAAAAATTACAATGAATAAATAACTGACTAATGAATGTTGGTTTATTTGTTGCTCATTTGTTTATGGTTATTCTCAGGGGAAAAAGAATTGACTTCTTCAGTCTTATATATTTGCTTTTTGTTCTTTTTAAGCTGGATTTCAATAGTGTTTACTATATAATGCATCTACTATTTAAAATCCACTAGAGAGTTCAGGGGTTGGGTATTGTAGTTCCTTAAAATATACTGAGGTTATTATATAGAAGAGGAAGTGTGAGCTGGGCATGGTGGTGCATGCCTGTAGTCCCAGCTCCTCAGACGGCTGAGACAGGAGGATTGCTTGAGCCCAGAAGTTTGAGGGTGCAGAAAGCAATGATCATGCCTGTGAATAGTCACTGCACTCCAGCTGGGCAACATAGAGAGACCTCGTCTCTAAAAACAAAACTAGGAAAAAAATAAAAAACCTGTAAAAAGCTAGGGGTCCTTTTGTGACTCGCTTGGTTTGGGGAAGATGTTGGGGATGCTTCAGACTAACACTTGCATGATCTGGAAAACCCAAAGTAGCAGATCACCGGTTAATCAGTGAGTCAACATAGAGTGAAGACTGTGTCTCAATTTCGTTAGCTTCCATGTGAACGTTCCCTTGAGAACTAACTGCATTATGATCCAATTGGAGACATATGGTGTTGTTAAAAAAAGAGTTAGCAGTTTTCATCTCAGCATGTAAGCTGCCCTCGCATTTTAGGAGAAATACTTTTTTTTTTTTTTTTTGGTTAGCATAAACAGACATTTTAAGACACTTTATTCAGATTTGTCGTTGAATAAAGGAGTTGCATTGTTAGTGGATTTTCCTCTTATTTATCCCACTTTATCCAACAAATGCCTATCTCTCTCTAGATATAGAGCATTCAGACTAGTTGTGAATATGTTGTTATATAAAAAATTCAAAAATGAGGATACTATGTAGAAATTATTGTTGATTCAAGTTTTAGCACAGGTCTCAATTTGTCAGATTTCTTCCTTTTTGTAAAAAGACATATTGAAATCTTTCTTGCTCTGATTGATTTCAAAGTATTTTATTTGGTTTTCCCCATAGAACACACCACTGACTGATACAATTTAATGCTGAAGACAAAGAAAGTCACTACAAATCCCCAAATGTCTGGGCATCCTTCCAGAATGTGCAGGCTATGATATTAACCTATCTAATATCATAGCTACACCCAATGGAAACATTGTGAATAGCAAGAACTTGGTTATAAGTTTCTCATTCTTACCTGTGGGAGTAAGAAAGGCAAAATAATTATGCCAGTTATAAAACTCTTAAGAGAGATAACTTTATGCTTCTGAGATTTGCATTCAACATAATAGAGCTAAGTATATAATATTGATCATCATCAGTACTTGAATTTGCTTTTTTATACATCACTTTGGAAGTTAAATAGAAGATAATAAAGGCCTCAAATGCTAACCGAAGACATTTAACCTTTGATACTTAAATTTGATGTGGAATAAAAGAGAATGTAATACAAGATACAGATATTTCGAAAGCTAAAGTAGTAATATGCCCTCATTGGGTTTAATTACTAAGCCATGACAAGTATGGTAAAATTTGGGTATATGTTGTCTGCCTTTATTGGTCTTCATTGCTTATTTCTTGGGGATAGATGGAAATCTTTCAGAAATCATATCTTAATCCAATATTCTATCCCATCTTTAAGACAGAGAGTAGGATATCACTATGAGCCCAGACATCAGATATCGTGGTCATTTTTTTAAAAAAGTGATCAATTTCCTGACCTTTTTCGATACTCTAAAGTATTGAAAAGTTCTCTAAAGTATTTCAATACTCTAAAGCTTGTCCTTGCTTGTGAATGTACTAACTAAAACCAACTGTAATTAATCTGACCCACAGACAACTAAAATAGAATTCAAAAATTTGAAAAAAATCTCAGTGTTCCGCATTGTCAAGATTAAGCCTCTTTGAATTTAAGAGTTTGTGGCTTTGTAGAATGGCCCGTTGATGGTTTCAAGGCATCCCTTTAGGTCGTGTGAATGAGGGAGCTGCAGCGATCCAATAAGGATCTGAGATCCTCATGCCCCAAGAAAGCTAGTGAAAGGTTTAATAGTAAACCAAACATCTTCTCCTCATACTACGGCCCTGCTTTTAATCTTACTCTAAGCAAGTACAGAACAATTAGTGCCATATACACATTGCTGACTTCTCTATTGAGGGCTAACTTGGGGAAATGTGTATGCGTTTGGGCAAATATAGTGCCGTTTCAATTTCTGTCACTCTTGACTATAAACATTACTCTTGAAGGAGAGGTAATGCTAATTATTTTCCCGAGGTGATCATCTAGTTTCCAAATCTCCTATTGTGTAATTTCTATAAAAGAACAAGAAAAAAAAATTTACTTTATCCTAAAACTTTGACTCTGAATTTCAAATTCTAAAAACATCATCATTAAGGACATTTACAAGGACATACAACATTGACCACATTTGTGTCGCTGCCCCAATTTTTATTTGAGTCATTGTGCAAATAATTTGCTCATTAAATATGATCCGTGTTGGTATTGGGTTCTAATTCCTGACAGATTATGTGAGTTGGAAAGGAATTTTGTAGATATTTTCTTTTAGATCATGCTCTCCCTCCCTGGGCTTCCCTTTTTTATTCATAAAGGTCTATTTTTTCATGAATGCATCATGGATAATTAAGGCCCATTAGTGCATCCCTGAACTATCTCTGTTCACTCTAGATTATAATGTTATCCCCAGACTTTGGTTACCTGGATCAATGAAGCTAGATATACATGCCAAAAATCAAATTATTGAATACTAGTATATGAGAAATTAACAAAGATCAGGATTAATGTTGCTACGAGCAAATGGGAAGGAGAGGCCAAGGCATTTGATAAAAAGCATTGATCATTTGAGTGTTGTAGCCATCAGCAGAAAGAGATCATCCGGCGTTCTCTTCCTCCCCTAGAGGGAAAAGAAAGTACAGCGTTCCATAAATGTTGCATGTACTATATATCGATCTTGATGTTTTCTGGACAAAATGAAGGATCATTAGTTGCTTGCCTGCCTAACCCCAGACATTTCTTTGTCCAGTAATGAATTGCACAGCCATGTTGTGCAGCCCCAAAGCGTTCCATTTTCAAACCTCTGGCAAAAGCAAAGGGTTAGTTCCCAGACACTTCAGGGATCTGTGGGGTATGAACTTGAAAGGCTCACTTTCAAAGAGCCCCCAGAGCAGAGTGACGCACCATGCAGAAAAGGCTTCCACGTGTAAGGACATGTATTGATGAACAGAACATGCAGCTGGTTGTAAAAAAAATAAATCATGTTTTGCTCTCAAACTAGACTTTTGCCTGTAAGCACGTGTTCCTATCAGTGGAGCAGTCTTTCCAGAAGAAAATGGAATAACCTACTTCTGGTATAATTTTCTTTACTCTTTAGATAATTGTTTCTAATCCTAATTGAACTCTTTAAGAAATAGGGAAAGTTTGAGAGAGAGAGAGAGAGAGAGAGAGAGAGCTCACCATATTTAATTTTAACAAATCTTGTGACCAACAGATATTTGGACAAATAAGTATTAGAGGAATCATTTTTCCAATAAATAAAATAAAACTTGTATTCCTTTTTGGTGCTTTGATATAGTAAATTTACTGTTGTGTTCTTATGTAAATAAAAAATGTGTATGGTTGTGTGTATATATGAATACTTCATGAAAGCACGCGAGGAAAAAAATTACAGTATGATATATTTTTTTGAACAAAGATAAATTTTTGTTGAAATTTAACATTTCTGTTACAGTAAAATATTGACAACATATTTAAATGCAATTTGTATTAAAAGACATGGTTCAAAA